AATATTCTAGTGATTTTTGGAAAGTTTCCGGAAATTTTCCACCCCTTTGCAACCCTAATATAAAATGCATATAAAAACATTTTATTGTTATTAAAGGTTATATATTAACAATAGAAAGTAATAGTATTTTTTTTTCCTTATTTCCTTTCATTACATTAGCCAATCACAAATTGGCCAAAATTTGGCAAGTACTAAAACAGGCATTTACATAAAACTTGTAAGACGCTTTGATCTGCTAATGCAAATGTCATGAACTCTGTGTGGTCCTGACCGTTCACAGAGGACTGGATTAACACCAACACACTTACAAAAATCTACTGATTTTTTTTAAATCTACTCTACAGAGATGAACTTGGCGAGCAGCATTCTATAACACAGCATCAGCTTAAAAAAAAAAAAGATGTTAATGAGACGATCTAATAAGAGGAAAAATACACTGAGGGCAGCAAAGACGAGTCCTGAGGGTCTCAGAAGACGACAAAAGCATCTATAAAGCTTACAAATTTAATATGGGGGATTAATCACAATGAGGTACTGGATTATGTATGGCTGCTGTGCAGTCATTTAGATCGATTCAGGGTCCTTTCACGTGTGTTGTTCATGTTATCATGTTAGCTGAACCCACCTTGAGAGATCTTGGTGTCAAACTCCAGCAGCGTGTAGAGCGATTCAGGCAGCAACTGTCTCGCCCAGCCGTTCTCCTCCAAGTAAATCCAATCCCAGATCAGCCTCTTTCTACGCAAGAAACCTTGAACGTGATCCAGGTACACTGAATTACCAGACACCAGATACAGCCTCAAAAAGAAGAAAAAAAAAAACATTATATGCATGAGCTGGAAAACCATTATGAAAGCGGCTACACGAGGCAAGGCAAGTCTAATTATTTGGGGGGGGTTTTTCATTAGCTTGGGAAATAAGACAACCTTTATTTAATAAGCCACAATGAGAATTAAAAACCAAAAACAATGTAATGGCTTTTGCGGGGAAAGTAATTTTTCAAGCACTTCTGAACAACAAGGCATTCAGCTTTAGTCTCTGGAGATGTGCTCCTGTATAATGACGGGTACAGCTTCAAACAAAACACCCTGGAAGAAAAAACTCTTAAGAAAACTCCATTTGTGCGCAGCAAACACGCAAACACACGCGCAGACATATAGCTCCTCAAATGTGGATTATTAGCTCAATTTAAAACCAGCCAAGCAGGACTGATGCTTTGAATGCTAATGATCAATTAGACAGAGATCAGATAGTAGGGAAGTGCTAAACTACAGAACAGAACTACAAATGTTATTTGCACAAAACTCAAAATAAAACGAATAATAATAATTATAATATATACACAGTTACACACACACACTTTAAAGTGCCATAATTAAAATGCAAACACAAACAATACATTATTTGTATAAAACTGAAACGAATAATAAAAATTGTGCGAAAGCATGAAAATAAAATAAACATTAATGAAACAAAAATACGTGTACATACAAGTTGCTTTTATTATTATCATCATCGTTATCATCATCATCCTCCATGCTATGGCACACATGCGTTAAAGTGCCATTAATATAAAAATGCAAACAACATTAATAAAAATATTTGCAAGATGAAGTACAAACATTAAAAAATAATAATAATAATTTTATTATCCATGCTATGGCAATTTAACATTTATTTGAATGTAAGTGGCATAGCATGAAAATAAAATGCAAACAAACAAAAATATATTTTATTTTATAAAAGGCCACAGCATGAAAGTACGAAGAAAATTATTTTTTTTTAAATACAAATAAAACAAAAAATAAATAAAAACTATATTTTAAAGTGCCATAGCATGAAAATGTTTGTCCAGTATGGGTAAAAAGCACTATAATATTCAGGTCTACTTGCTTCTTCAAGTGAGCACTTTATCACTTCAATCACTCACACATCTGCTTATGGAAGACGATCGGCCTCAAGGAACATCCCACTTAACTTGTCACACTACTGTTCTCTGATGCTGTGGGATCAGGCTGACTTTAGAGCATGCTCTTTGAGATCAGTCACCACACACTTCAGAGATGTCATCGACTGGCTGCGGATCTCAGGCCGGAAGTTACTGCAGGGTATTTGTTTGAAGCTGCCAGCACACTCTCCAGGCTTCAAAACCCAGTCTGAAAGCCAACCACTGCTAAAGCTCAACGCTTTCACCACTAGTTTTTAATAGAAACGACAGCAATTCCAGTAATAGAGCAACATTTTACAGCCTAAAAATGGTGATCAATGAGAACGCTAAAAGCCAAGCTCCTATGGGTACCACCAGCGAATAAGAGTGTCACTAATCTAACATGATAATTGTGAAAGAGCCTCATTAAAGCAAAATGCTGCATCAGTTCGGATTTTTCACCATGTTATAAAAATAAGGTTTGCAAAGCGGTTGCTGTGTGCACAATGTGCTGAAGACTATATTGCCATCAGTATTAGCACTGCATAAAATTAGGCTGCTTACTTTAAGTTAAATTAGTTTAGTAAAATAACTTATTTAAATATAAATAATTACCTAAAGTCAGCTTAATTTATAGCATTGTATTTAATTTTATTTATACATTTGTATTTATTTCATTTGTATTTAAATAAGCAAATTAAAAAAAAAAAAAACTAGCTTCATTTAAATAAAATTATTAAATACATTTTTAAAAGGTAAAAAATTAAGTTAGCTTATTTTTTTTTTTTCATTTAAAGGAAAAAAGATGAAAATCTTGTATTTTATTTGTAATTTTATCTAAAATAATTAAACGTTAGCTTAGTTCTATGTATTTAAAGAAAATATTTTTGAAAATTAAATACTCGTTTAGATTTTTTTTACTAATCCAAAAAATACAAATAAACAAACATCTTCAATTAAGCCAACATTTTACATTAATGCCATCTTAATGCAAGACTTTATTTTAGATAAATACAAAAAAAGTAAAATATTAGAAGGTTAAGATTTTTTTATATTTAAATACATGTCAGCTTGAATTTAAGATTTTTAGATTAATATAAAAAAAAAAATTTAAAAAAAGATTAAGGTTAATATTTTTTGTATTTAAAAATAATGTCAGCTTCAATGTAAGATTTTTTTAAGATAAAATTGTAACTAATATTTTTGTTTGTATTCAAGTACATAATGTCAGCTCAAATTTAACTTTTTATTTTAAATATTATAAAATATTTTAAATTAAACATTTAACATTTATTTTTGTGTACCTAAATACAAATAAATTTAAATTAATAAATCAAGCTAGCATTATGTATTTAAACCAACAAAATTCATTTTAAATGTGTTAAATAAAATAAAATCTAAAATAAAAATGTTATTTAATAAAATTTAATTAGTTAATTAAATTTTTTTTTACATTTCACCGAGTAATTTTTATTACATTATATGCCTAATTCTGTATTCTTGGGAGAAAGAGAGAAAGTCAGACAGACAGAGTAATCAAACAGACTCGAGCAGGACTGACTTGTAGTAGGGGAGCGACTCAATCATTTTCCAGTTGACATAATTTGCAGCCGTCTCCTCCAGCGTACAGACACGGGTCATCTGGACTTTGGCTACCTGCCAGAAGCGCTCGTGCTCGATGAGCGTCTCCTGCATCTCCCGTCTCAGCAGAAGATACACACCCTCCAGTGTGTCTTCATAAACCTGCCAATGACACATCACTCCATCAGCAAACAATATTCCACCTGACCTTGCTCCTGAAAAACAGCATGCATGGGGGAATAAGACCAAACGTGCAGATTACTAAAAGTGCAAAAAAAGAAAAGAAAAAATATATATAAAACTGCACACAAAGTGCGGTCCAATTAGCATTAAAATACCTTAATATCCTAGTTGAAGACTATGCTGATATCAAGAATATAGGTTATGCAAAGCACATACATGAAACCCTGAAACGAAACGGACTACATTAACCTTTGTTGGAAAACATAAAATGCATATTTAATGTCTCTCTGGTCCTTTGTGTGTCCTTGAATGGTCACATGTGTTGTAAAACGGTGTATAACGGCAGGAGAGTTTGTATGCTCAGACGTGCGATGTAATTGACTGGGACATGCACCGATACGTCTAGAATCCATTTAGGCAGCCATTAGATAGGAGCGTCTGCTCACGCCGTGACCTGTGAAATCATTTTCCCTGGCTAATGAAATGCAGAAGATGAGCACTGTTGGAATATTTAAGATCACGTCCTCGGAGGAACTTATTTGGCATTTTTCAGATGGCGAAGAGAGATATCAGTTGGAACAGAACAAGGAACAATCATGTGTGAAGAAAACTTAGTCCCTGGAAAGACAGCATGTCAAATTTATTCAAACATCACAATGCACACCAGGGAGAGAGGACTTCATGTCAAAAGAAAAAAAAATGGTTTTAAAATTCAGACTGAAATATTGTTCAGTTTCCTGCATGTATTCCATAGACGTACCTTTCTTCGCTTCAGTCGGCCCCAGTCGCGGCCCAAGATCCAGGCCACGAGAGACTTGCACATGGAGAAGTAGTTTCCGACAGTCTGAATCCCTGACGAAAAGAAACAAGTAGTCAGAACATGAGATGATACTCCCAAGAGACTGGAGCAGTAACATTTGATCTACAGACAGATTTCCTGCTAAAGGACTGGTACAGGCATAATTCCTAAAGAGAGAGCACCACACGAGACCGACAGAGAACACAAAACACCATCAAATACAGCAGGTTTGCCTGACTCTTCAAGGGTTTGCAGATCAAGCCAGTTCTCCAGCAGAGGCTGACCAATAATAGATTTTGCAAATGCCAGTAACAAACGTACAGGGGGAAAAAGCAGTTTTACAAATAATAGGCTAATAGTTTCCTTTATTATTTTTTTTATTTTTTTTTTAAAGCGTAGTAGTAGTAGTAGTAGTAGTAGTAATAATAATAATAATAATAATGGCATTTTGTTTACATAAAAGAAAAACAATAATAAAAATAATAATAATAAATATATAATGGCATTTTGTTTACATTTAACAAAGCTAATAATAATAAACACTTAAATGTTATTCAATAAATAAATAAATAAAAAGTAACTCATTTATTATTTAACGGTATGCAGTCTGTTTAAATAAAACACTCTAAACTCTAAAGTTATTATTATTATTATTATTAATTCAAAACACAACAACAAAAATAAATTAAAACACTAATAATAATACATAAATCAACTAATTTACATAAAGATGTGCAATCTGTTTACATAGGACATAATAAATTAACATTAATAATAATAATAATAATAATAATATCAAAACACTTAAAATAACAAACAACAACAACAACAATAAAACCGCACTAATAATAATAGTTTAAAAACACTTAAAATAATAATAATAAACAACAACAACAAAACCGCACTAATAATAGTAATAATAATAATAATAATAATACAAAACTATTAAAATAATAATAATAATAAAAGACGTATAAAAGGTCAACCAAACCAACGAGAGCACCCAGACACCCTTATGTCCTTTTGGTTAAGACGACAATACAGTACAGTTGGGCGTGAGTCTAAATGCGATGCAAAAGTGCCAGAGAACAAACTGCAGTTGACTGGATTCACTCCAGCACTCACAGAGGATTAAAGTAAGGTGATATATTGCATAATACATTATATTCCTTTGGCAATATCAAATCACAATATTCGCAACGTTGGTTATCACACTTTTTATTTGGCCATTAAGCTTCCTAAAAACCAGGCAAGCAGACAAGTTTCACACCTAGTTTCATAAAATGGGATGCAAATCTCACCACTGTTTTGGTGCTGGCGGAGAACATGCTGAAAGACCAGTGAGACACTACCATGATGCTTCAGTGCAAGATGATACAGCTCTCTCCATTCAAACTTGAGGTTGTCACAATCTTCAGTTTTCTCTGGGAAACAGAATACCACGTTAGGCTAAAATTAAACATGGAAAGCCCATGTGACAGCTGAGAGTATGACCACCATGGAGTTTGTCCTGGAACAAATCTGCAGTGATTCCCCACAGTTTCTCCACATCGCTGCAGGGAAGTCGCACTGAAGGCAAGGGAACGCTTTCCTCCAACACGAGCCACTGGATCCAGTACTTGTGCGGCGCGAGCGGGATCTCCACAAAGAGTTTCTCCTGAAACGCACGGTTACAGTGGATGTTTCTGAAGAGGGATCTCCACATAAAAACCAGACGGAAGGCGGTTTTGGCCGTTACGGGACACCGGGCGTGGGTATATGTCAGACTGACCCCAAACGAATCCTGTGGAGAGATTTTGGAGAGAATAAGCATGCACGTGACCACTGGAATAGTCTGTTAGGACCAGTGTTGGGGAAAGTTACTTTTAAAAGTAATGCATTACAATATTGCGTTACTCCATAAAAAAGTAACTAATTACGGTACTTAGTTACTTTTTATGGAAAGTAATGTGTTACGTTACTTTTGCGTTACTTTTAAAATCTGGACAGGGCTTGCTTGTTTTTAAAATAAAAAAAAAGTTCTATTTTTGGCAAATATAAAAGCCTTTTCATACCAAAAGTGAAATGAATAAGCCTCAGGCTGAAGGGAAAGTAAATTTACGTCCGTACAGTAGAATGCAGAAGAAGAAATTTCAACACACTTCAGCAATAAAAAAAAAAAGACACAAATGTTTGTCTAGAGTAATTTGTGCTTATTAGTACGGTTGAACTGGATAGTTGGTGAGTGAGATGAATTAATGCATATTCATATTTATTTTAGAACTACAGTAACATCTGATTTCTCTCAACAATCAGTAAATTGGAAAAAAAATAACTCGCGTTACTTATTTGAAAAAGTAACTCCGATATTGTCTTGTAAATTAAAATGTAATGCATTACTTTACTAGTTACTTGAAAAAAGTAATCTGATTACGTAACTTGCGTTACTTGTAATGTGTCTTCCAACAGAGCTACTTAGGTATGTGGGGGCGTGTTAGAAAGAGCAGTTTTAGGTAGGTGTGGCTGATTCTTAACTTTTATAAAGAATATCTCTTTGGATTTGAGACTTTAGTCTTTGCAACTTTACAGATCTTCTTTATGCACCAAGAGCTTGGAACACTCCAAAGAGAAAGGAAAAATTGAAATCGCATCATATGACCCCTTTAAAAAACACCATGTACTCGAATCATATTCGAACCTTTTAGCTGAATGACTAATTCACAAACATGCACCAACTGTATTTTTCGTTCACTTAAGCTGCATTCAAAGACTGAATACAGCAAGAGCAAATGTCTTTCGTAAAAGTTATTCAGTAGCTTAGCCTATATCATAGGTAAAAGTTACAGAACGCCGCGAATGATATGCTTTTTGTCTTGTACGAGTCTCGGAGTGGCGATGAACGACTCGCATCGTTCACGGTCTTATACATGGATTAGCTATCTGTCAGAGCACTCAATTACATTTGAGCCATTTTTGTTCACAAAGCTAAAATAAAATGACCCAAGGAAATTCTTAAACTGTATAATATATTATAATTGTTTCTTATTTTCTCTATAACTTCCTCAGTGTCATGAATAGCGTTTGACTCGGTTCCGAGTCGGTTGGACACATGATTCACCTATAACTAGGGTTGGGTACCATTTGAATTTTATCAATTCCAATTCCGATTCTGCTCATCGATTCTGATTCTTATCAATTCCCAGTTTCTATTCCAATGTGGTTAATAAAAGTCAATCAGTTAGATATCAAACATATTTATTCTGTGTCTATTTTTGCAAAACATTTCATTGCTGCGGAATACCATAAACAAAAACCAGCCGGCTATAAACTGGACTCGATTAAGAGCTGTTTGTGGTTTTAGAAAGGTAAAAAGGTTTTAGTTCAATCACAATTCTGAAGAAAAAGATTACACAACTGAACAAAAGCTCATAGAATTTATGAATGGAATGATTCAATGACTCACTCAAGATTCACTTGTTTTATCACTGGATAAATCAGTGTTTTTGAATTAATCTCTTGAATGAATTAATTATTCATAGGCAAATACATTTTGTACAGCCACTTTTCGCCACCTAAAAAAAAAAATGATAGGTGGAATTGAAATTTTAATTTTACAACAAGTATCAGATTCCTGCCCTAAGTATCCGATTCTGGAATTGATTTTTGATTCCCAATCATACCTATAACACGCTGTTCACTGTTCGCCAGGCTTAGGTATGTACAGAGCATAAAGTATGAATTAACGAATGTAAAAGATTCGACTCACTGTGATGAATCGAAAATCTAATTCCCACGCAAATCATACCTGGAAGTGTGTGGTCCACAGAAAGTTGCACGAACAAACTCGGAACAATAAGCTGCACGTGCTGCCGAGCCTCAGCAGCGACACTGGGTCCAAGTTCCTGAGTATAACCAGGAGAACTTCATCACTTAAATGCAATAAGCCCGTTGTGTTGTCGCTGCTTTCCGAAGTAATATCTGCTGTATTCAGATGGGGCTCCTCGTCTGTGGCGGCAGTCAGGCAGGAGAATTGCTCCAGCAACTCACGCTCCCAGGTCGCGCTGAGGTCTGCCATATCTGTGCCGGTGTCACCGCGCTGCTTGCGGCCGCCTCTCAGGTGTTAAAGGTTAGGAAGAAACCACCTGAGAGAGGTCATAGGGAGGTACATCGCTAAGGAGTCGCTCATGAATATTAGTAGCTAATGAATATAAATGAGGTCACGCCGACGTTGCTTGGCAACATACCTGCTTAAACTAATTAACATTCATACGGCAAGCGTTTAATTCGCCAAGCCAATCGGGTAGGCGTTCTTGGAACGGTGTAATAAATATTCATAAGATAAACACTTCATTTCCCAACAGCAATGACAAAAACATTTCTTATTTGCAGCCAGTGTAATGCTAATCTATTCTACGCTCTGTCTTGAATATCTTGAATTCACCGTGTTAGAGGTGAGTTTTACTTTTTGATGTTGCTGTTGTCCTGCACCTGAAGTTCCCCATGGGGTCAATATAGTATTTTTGTCTGTTGTAGGGATTATGCTTTTATTAGCATCATTCACTCACCCTCAGCTTGTTCCAAATATGTACGAGTTTCCTTCTTCTGTTGAACACATCAGAAGATATTTTAAAGAATGTGAGTGAACAAACAGTAGCTATTCCATAGTATTGAGAAAAAAAATACTTCGGAAGTCAATGGCTACCGTCAAATGACTGGACACCAACAAGTTCAACATTTTTTTGTGTTCATATAGGTTTGGAACAACATGAGAGTGAGTATGATGACAGAATTTTCATGTTTGGGTAAACTATCCCCTTAAATTGTAGTTTACACCATTACATAGTCTGATATGTAAAAGTTTGATTTTGATGTAATGTTTTGCAGGGTCAAATACATTTTCCCAGTCTTAACCATTCACGTTTTTTGAGTTTAAGACAAATATACTTTATTTTAAGCAAGTCAGACACATTAAGAATTTCCAATATTTAAATGACAATTTAAGAATGCAAAAAAAAAATTTAAACAAAACAAAACTCAGATATCAGTTCAGAATACTTTACATGTATTATACTGGATTTTATCCAAATAAGATGATAATTAAGACCGAACTGCTTATAAAACAAAGACAAGTGCAGTAGAATAGTTTACAAGTTTACAATCAATTGCTATTACACAGACTTTTATATTTAATACAAATGCATGTACCCTTTTTCCTGGCAGAATTAAAACAAAACATGACAAATATAAAAAACTGAATATGGTATAACAGTTAAAGGGTGTAAAATCATTCTCTTTTTTTTACCCTTTTTGTATTTCTGACTGACGAATGGAAATATTTATAATTTTGAGCAGATAATACAATATGCAATCATGACATGTCCAGTACTGATGACACTGTTTTTAAGTCATGATTTCTCATTGGCTAACGTAACCCACAATAATATTACATGGCAAGGCACTGGCTCAAATCAGCATTGTAAAACTCAGATTGCAGTTTTCGTCAGATAGATCTCATTTAAAATGTAAAACTGTAGTGAAACAAACCATGTCAAACGTTCAAATACAATGAACACTTTGTGCTCGTATAAGAAAATAAAACATTCACAATTGAGCATTTGGATAACACAGTCAGCACGAATCCTTCTAAACATTTAATTTGCCGCGGGGAAAGAGGCAATGAGGTGAAATCATCTCTATACATGATGGATCTGATATATCTCAGATATACAGAAGTCACTGCTACCTATTGACAGTTCGTGATCACAGTGTACTCATTTGCTACGTGGTTGTTTACATCATTCAGTGATCATTATCATTCGTTTTTTTTACAGACTGCTGGGACGGGCAGTGGATGATTGGTTTTGAGAGACCACGCCCCCTTCAGGCTACTCTTACGCGAGGCTCCTCCTCTATTTCCTGACCCAGGCTCGTATAGGTCACTGAAGGCTCCAGGGGCCCCAAGGTGGGCGTGTCTGTGATAGCATTTCCCGCGTTGCGGAATTGTTTATAAACGCGAGGATCCTGTGCCACGTAGGTGGAGGAGGAGTAGTACAGGACCAGTCCCAGGATGATGATGATGAAGGACAGCAGGTAAAGGCCTGAAAACTGAAGACAGACAAACAACATAATGAAATTCATATAGTGTGTTTAAAGAGTGATTTAGAACTCAACATAATGAATTATTCGTTCCAAATAGAAAAATTATTTCAAATCATGATCTAGTAATTCTAAATAGAACACTTTAAATCATAAAATGAAAACTTAAAATTATAATTTACTACTTTTAATTAGAACAGTGATTTTAAACAGTTAAACTGTAAACAATGATTTATTCATTCAAAACAGAACACTGATTTGTACTGTAAATCATAATTTTTTTTACTTCAAATAGAATACTCATTTAAATAATGATTAGGAACACTGATTAAAATAATTATTAATTGATTTATTAATTCTAAATAAGATCACTGAATTAAAAATGTAAATAATGATTTATTAATTCTAAATAGAACACTGATTTAAAACCTTAAATAACAATTTACACTAATTTAAAAATGCAAATCATGATTAATTAATTCCAAACAGAACACTGATTTAATTTTTTTAAATAACAATTGACTAATTCTAAATAGAACAGCGACTTAAAACTGTAAATTCTAAATAGAACACTGATTTTAAACTTCAAATCATAATTTACTTTACTTTAAAATAGAACACTAATTTAAAACTGTAAATCATGATTTCTTCTTTCTAAACAGAACACTGATTTAAAACGGTAAATTTGAACTAGAACGCTGAATTAAGTTTAAATCATAATTTATTAATTCTAAATAAACATTAATTTAAAACTTCATATCATAATTTATTAATTCTAAATAGAACACGAATTTAAAACTTCAAATTTTACTTTAACTTTAAAAGTACTACTACAGAACACTGATCAGAAACTGTAAATCATGATTTGTTGTTTCTAAATAAATGTTTTAAAACTTAAAATCATAATTTACTACTCTTAAATACAACAATGACTTCTAAATCATGATTTATTCTAAATAGAACACTGATTTAATCATTATTTATTAATAATAAATCAAATCAATCCAAATCTGCATGCTGTTATTTGTTCTATGGAACACAAAAGAAGAGAAAAAAAACTTGAGAGTCACAGTCACAATTGTCTGTATGGAACAGAGTTATTTAAAACACTCCTTTTGTTTTCCACAGACAAAATAACAACATACAGATTGGAACAAAATGGGGGTGAGTAAATAATGACAGAATATTCATTTTTGAGCAGATGCTCCATACGGTCTAATGACAGCCAATGCAGACATTGTTTGCTCCTATAAATATGTCACATTAGGGTCATACCCATACTAGGAATTAGTGCTCTGCATTTATCCCATCCTAAGTGCACACACACAGCAGTGAACACACACACACTGTGAACACACACCCGGAGCAGTGGGCAGCCATTTATGCTGCGGCGCCCGGGGAGCAGTTGGGGGTTCGGTGCCTTGCTCAAGGGCACTTCAGTCGCGGTATTGAAGGTGGAGAGAGTGCTGTACATTCACTCCCCCCACCTACAATCCCTGCCGGTACGAGACTCGAACTCGCAACCTTTGGGTTACGAGTCCGACTCTCTAACCATTAGGCCACGACTTCCCCCCAAGAGAGATGGAGCGAAGCACGTCCAGAGAAATTATTCACTCTCAGTGTGAGTCTACTGTTCAAGGCAAAGGTCTGTGATTGTAATTATGATGGGATGGCATTAATAATTTAATAATGGTTTAAAATTTATGTTGTGAGACCAAAGGGCAAACATGTGCATTAATGTGATTTAATGTCATGGGAATGCTTAACTTAACTTAATGGGTCATGGAAGAACACTTTAATTTCCCAGAATGCTCTAATTTATCCCAAAGTCTTCAGCATGAAGCCAAATTACATGACAGGTTTAGGATGGAAGATGGAAATTCACACTCGTCAACTGAAAGTGAGCCAGACCTTAAAATCAGAATTTTGTTTTTTGAATCTTAGAAAGTTGCTGGACTGCTAAGAGGTTATTTTTACTAAAAACTAAGACTAAACCTTAAAAGAAAAGCAAAAAAAAATAAATAAATACGTAATGTAAAATAAAACTGCACCACTGACAATGCCATTTTGGAGCAGTGCATTATATTTTGCTCTGCGTTATGGTCAAGCAGGGACTCAATACCCTTGTCAGCGCTTTGAAAATAGCAACAACAATCACAACTTTGAAAACTGAAATGCCAAAGCTTCACTCTATTTGCCGTCACTCGATCTCCAAATCACATCAATAGTTTTTCATCCATAGGGTCTGAGGTGTGGATGAGCACAACAATCAGTTCTGGCAGTAGAGCTGTGCTATGAACAATGGCCTTTCAGCTCGATCATGGTCCATTTCTGAGCCACGTGCCGCCCATCTATAACGCCTGTGATTAACAAAGGGCTTCCAATTACATGCAGTCTTCAGCTCTTGCCCATAAGAGCAGGATTCAGCTGAGTTAATAATTAAAAAAGAAACAAACAAACAAATACAAGCAAATCTGATGCATTAGGATTTTTAAGTTTCCTCAATAGCTTTACATTTTGTGCACTGCATGTTCAGCCCAATGTCATTTTAGTATCATTGAGATGCAATCTTTTATTAATAATTTTTTTATTAAAGATTTAATAAAGTTTTTATTGTATAAATTTTGCTGTTTTAAAATGTTGCATATTACATTTTAGTAATATAGTTGTGTGTATCTGTCATGTTTATTAATTT